TCGCTCTCGCGCATCCTCATGAAAACCAACAAAGGGATATCCAGGATATGTACATATTCAACTTTGTATATTCAAGATTGTGTGTGTGTGTGTGTGTGTTGGAGTGCCAGGCAGTGTTGCAAAAAAAAAAAAAAAGAAATCTTTATTAAAAGGGGGAAGATGGAGGAATTGATTTAATGAATGCGGACTCATGTCCTGCGGTCGCATGTAATCCATTGAGAATCATTGAGCCAGAGCTCGGGGAGACAAAAAGACATTCTGCGAAGACTGCTCGAGTGGCCTGTAATGATAGTCTCCATATAATCCGCTAATTCCTTGTTTAATTAAACTCCAGAGCCGGTCTGGAGACTGCAGCAGTATTGGTTCATCTTGAAGCAGTTGCATTGCGGAAGACCCTTGTTTTCTTGTGTCGTTCATGTAGTTGCACTAAATACTTGCACATGCACTGAGAAGAATGCATGTGTAAATAAACAAGACCCTAATTGTTTATAATGTCTTCGTACTAAGACGGATTTCCTAGAGTTTGGATCTATTTATTGATCATTTGAGCAGGAATAATGTATGCATGAATATGCAAGCATACAGTCTTGGGGGAAAAATCATATATTGCAATTGTAAGGTTTAGGATTGTAATATATACCTTTTTCCATTACACCGGATGTGTGTTTACTGTACAAGTTGCATTGAGCTGGGGGTTGTTTTTTCCCCCCAGTTTCAAATGCACCCAATACTTGTACATGCACCGTGAAGAATGCATGTGAATACACAAGACCTTTCTTGTATATCATTTCCTCCCACCTCGTACTAAGATTTATTTCCTAGAGTTTGGTCCTATTTATTGATCATTAATTTGGTGCACCAAAAAAAAAAAGGATGCATGGATATGCAAGTGTTGGGGAAAAGGTAATATATTACATTTTAAAGTCACATTATGTTACTTTTTTAAGAGTAAGAAAGACTTAAAATTGTAGTATATAACTTTTTACCCAACACACTTGGGTGCGTGTTTGTTGTTCCAGTTGGATTGAGCTGGGGGATTGTTTTCTGCTATTGTTAATTTCAAGCAGGGCCAGAGTGGGACCTGGAGTTTCAAGCCTCAGAACGGCCCACCTCAGTTCACGATTGACTATATTAAAATAAGGTCATTTCCAAATCAGTTTCTAATGGCACTATCACGTCTTTTTCAAGAAAACAGCTGCTTTAGAACTTCAAATGTTCAACAACCGTAACAGTATTATGTCTTAACAATAAAAATGAAAAAAATAAAATAAATTGCTCAGATGAGGTTCGAACCCGGTTCGACGGCGTCGTAATGCAACGAGCAGACCACTGGACCACCGACTGCATCTTGCTGTGGTCAAGCAAATAAATAAATTAAAAAAGTGTGACTGCTCAGAGCAACAGAGTCTGGAGCTAGGAAAACCGACCCTCGTGGCCAAAAAAATGGACCGGCCCACCGGGAATTCTCCCGGTCCTCCCGATTAGCCAATCCGGGCCTGATTTCTAGTGCACCCAATACTTGCACATGCACCAAGAAGAATGCATGTCTAAATACACATGATTTTTGCTGTTTATAATTTCCTCCTACCTTGTACTAAAATTTATTTCCTAGAGTTTGGTTATATTTATTGAATTTAGTTTGATGCACCAAGAATAATGTATGCATGGATATGCAAGTGTTGGGGAAAAGTCAATGTACTACAATCTAAAGTCACATTTTGCTACTTTTTTATAGTAAAGTAGGCTTAGGATTGTAATATATAAGTTTTTATACCCATCACACTTGGATGCTTCTTTATTGTTCCAGTTGCATTGAGCTGGGGGTTGTTTTTCCCCATAGTCAATTTCAAGTGCACCTAATTCTTGCACATGCACTGAGAAGAATGCATGTTTAAACACACAAGACCAGAGTTTGTTTGTGCCATTCTTGTTTATAATTTCCAACATCTTGTATTAAGTATTAAGTTGATCATTTAGTTTAGTGTACCAAGAAGAATGTATACATGGATATGCAAGTGTTGGGGAAAAGTTAATGTATTGCTATCTAAAATCACATTTTGCTTCTTTTTTTAAGAGTAGAGTAGGCTTAGGATTTTAATATCTACCTTTTTTTACCCAACACACTTGAGTGCCTGTTTATTGTTCCAGTTGCAATGAGCTGGGGGATTTGTTTTTCCCCATTGTCAATTTCAAGTGCACAGAATACTTGCACATGCACCAGAAGAATGTATGTGTAAATACACAAGACGTTTGGTGCACAAAGAAAAATGTATTATTATTATTATTATTATTATTATTATTATTATTATTATTATTATTATTATTAATATAACCTTTATTTTACCAGGAAAGACTCATTGAGATTAAAAATCTCTTTTACAAGAGCGTTCTGGCCAAGATCAGGCAGTACACAAGTCACATTAGTACAACAGACAACAAACAAAAAACAATTTACAGTTAACATGAATCACACTGACAAACTATTCAAAGCATCTACAAACCTGTGTTTCAACTTCTAAATCTTTTATAGTCTTTTTTTTATTTTATATAAAAAAATATATGCATGGATATGCAAGTGTTGGGGAAAAGGTAATGTATTACAATCTTAAGTCACATTTTGTTATTATTTGTAAGAGTAGGATAGGCTTAAGATTGTAATATATACCTTTTTTTACCCATCACACTTGGATGTGTGTTTATTGTTCCTGTTTCCTTGAGCTGTGGGGTTGTTTTTTTTACCATAGTCGATTTTAAGTGAAATAAGAAAGAAGAATGCACGTAAATACACAAGATCAGAGTTTGTTTGTGCCTTTGTTGTTTATAATTCCCTTGTATCTCATACTAAAATGGACTTCTTAGAGTTTGGTCCTATTTATTGATCATTTAGTTTGGTGCACCAAGAAGAATGTATGCATGGATAAGCAGGTGTTAAGAAAAAGGTAATGTATTACAATCTACAAGTCACAATATGTTACTTTTTTAAGAGTAAGATAGGCTTAAGATTGTAATGTAAACCTTTTTTTTTTACCCAACACACTTGGATGCATGTTTATTGTTCCAGTTGCATTGAGCTGGGGGATTTTTTTCCCATTGTCAATTTTAAGTGCACCCAGTACTTGCACATGCACCAGAAGAATGTATGTGTAAATACACAAGACATTTGGTGCACCAAAAAAAAAAATGTATGCATGGATATGCAAGTGTTGGGAAAAAGGTAATGTATTACAACCTAAAGTCAAATTTTGTTATTATTTGTAAGAGTAGGATAGGCTTAAGATTGTAATATATACTTTATTTTACCCCTCACACTTGAATGTGTGTTTATTGTTCCAGTTTCATTGAGCTGAGGATTGTTTTTTTCCCCATAGTCAATTTCAAGTGCACCCAATACTTGCAGATGCACTGAGAAGAATGCATGTGTAAATACACAAGACCAGAGTTTGTTTGTGCCTTTGTTGTTTATAATTCCCTTGTATCTCATACCAAAATGGACTCCTTAGAATTTGGTCCTATTTATTGATCATTCAGTTTGGTGCACCAAGAAGAATGTATGCATGGATAAGCAGGTGTTGAGAAAAAGGTAATGTATTACAATCTACAAGTCACAATATGTTACTTTTTTAAGAGTAGGATAGGCTTAAGATTGTAATGTAAACCTTTTTTTTTTTGTCCAACACACTTGGATGTGTGTTTATTTTTCCAGTTGAGCTAAGGGATTGTTTTTTTCTTTCCCCCATTGTCAATTTCAAGCGCACCCATGCACCGAGAAGAATGCATTCGCTGATACTCACGGACATACTCGCACACCCATGCACATACTAATATACACACACTTTCGCACTCCCACAGGCCCTTTTGTAACCTCTTTTCCTGGCAGCCTATCAGCTGCAGAAGAGGCCTGGCAGATGGGGGTTTGAGAGAGAGAGATGATCAGGCTCCGGTCTGGCAGAAGGAAACGGAGATGCAGGAGAGAAAGTCGTGTGAAGTGGTCCAGGGTGCAGGAACCTGCTGATCAGCAGTGGGCAGAGAGCGCACACCATGGCTCAAAGGAGATTTGTCTCCGCTGTGGCAGCTGTGGCGTTGCGGGGGAAGGAGCTCGGAGCCCTTCTTTCTGTCTTTCCCCCATGGATGATGCAAGACCAAAGGGCCTGGAGCAAGACTCACGCTACGCTGCTTGTTAGCACTCATGCGTTTTAAGAAAGCAAATGTAGAAGTGTGATTTTTGTGACAGGACCTTTCACGAGCTTTCTGCTGCCGTGAATAGATATACAGAGGTGGCTCACAAATAAAGTATGATGCAATTTTAGAATCAATTATCATGGTAATGTATTTCAGTAATATATCTTAACACACTCCATATCTCTCCTTACAAATGCTCGTCTTGGCTCGGTCGTAGTAGTGTTCGTCTTTGTGCCGGGGAAATACTCCTCTGGCTAAAATGCAAACTGCCAACTGCGATCTGCACTTGTCTTTGACTGGATGCCTGCAAAAAAAAAAAAGTAATGTAAAATATGTTGTAATATATTTTGAACACTAGCTTGAAACACAAAGAGAGAGGATTCAATGGCCCAGAAGTCTCACACATTCTTATTTCAAACACTTGCTCTTAGGAGCTAGCCCCAGGCCGCTACAGAAAGAATAAGGCGGACGTGCGAGAGCAAGGTGTCTGGTGTAGATTACCCTAACCCTCACAGTTACGTCCCCCAGGCCTCTCCAGGGCTCAGTGGCAGGATTATGTGTCTGAAGACTTCTCACATAGGAATAAGACCCAGTCAAATGGTAGTATCTAGGGCTCCATTGACACATCGAGATAACGGAAGCATTAATATCACCGTGATAGCCGGTTTCGGTTTTCAGGATCATTTTCCATTGACTAATTCGTGCTATGCTACCATAGTTGATGACAGCTGAGATTTTCAGTTTCTGTACAAAATAACCTAGCAGTTTTTAATCTTCTGAGACTTGATGCTCAATGACTTACTTCCAAACTGTGTGCGCAGGTAATCGCACGGACGAAGGTTCAGACGTGGAGTCAGAGCCAGACCTTCCTCTGAAGAGGAAACAGAGACGCAGTCGTACCACATTCACAGCGGAGCAGTTGGAGGAGCTGGAGAAGGCCTTCGAGAGGACACACTACCCTGACATCTACACCAGAGAGGAGCTCGCACAGAGAACCAAACTGACTGAGGCTCGTGTACAGGTCAGATATGTTCACTTGCGCTACTTACAGTGCATGACACTGATCTGAGCTAAAGTGAACTGCACTTCAACAGTGGCATTAATACCAAAAACTTTTTTATTAATACCAGTCCTTTTTCACATTTCCGGGTTTCTTTAGTAGATAGTTGGGTGAACTTAAGATGCTGATTACTATAGTCGGCGCCAGTGGTGTAGTGGTCAGTGCGTCGACATATGCAGTCCGGTGCTCGTGGCGACCCGCGTTCGATTCCGCCTTGTGGTCCTATGCCAATCCTTTCTCTGCTCCCCATGCTTTCCTGTTAATTCTCTCTACTGTCCTGTCAAAAATAAAGGTGAAAACCCCGAAAAAATAATAATAAAAAAAAGATACTGATTACTATTAAACGTATAATAACAGTCCTGTGAAAAGGGCCCATAGCTTTACTCTCTTTTTATCATCAGTGTTAAGCTGCTTTGACACAATCTATACCAGGGGTTCTCAAACTCAGTCCTGGAGGTCCGGTGCCGATTTTAGCTCCAACTTGCCTCAACACACCTGCAAGTATGTTTCTGCACTCTCAGAAATAAAGGTACGAGAGCTGTCACTCGGGTGGTACCTTTTCAAAAGGTACACATTTGTACCTAAAGGGTCTATATTGGTATCTTAAAAGTAAATATTAGAACCTAAAAATTTGAACACGATTGTACTTTTTAGGTACTAATTTGTACCCTTGAAGTATTAATACGGTCCCTATAGGTACAAATTTGTACCTTTTGAAAAGGTACCACTCCAATGACAGCTTTCGTACATTTACTTCTGATAATGTAAGGCCCTGTTTACACTAATACTGCGTTTTAAAATGAAAACGATCCATATCCACACTGACGTTTAACCCAGCGTTTCTGAACAGTTCAATTCTATATCCACACTACACCGCTAAAAACGCACATCACGTGACCACAGACATGCACTGCGGCATGCACTGCAGCATACTTACCCATCTACCCATAGCCATATGAAAGCTGTGCACATCCAACTGTATATCAAGGATCTACAGCTGGATCTAATCTCACTATAGTTGTTAAACGTGACATTTAATTAATTTTGTTGTCTTTATTTAATGACATATTCGCCGATAGGGGCGATTTTAGGATTTTTATTTTAGGGGGTTCAGCACTTTATAAGATAAAAAATAAAATAAAATAAACATATATATATATATAGTGGCAGTGGCGCAGTAAGTAGTGCTGTCGCCTCACAGCAAGAAGGTCGCTGGGTTGCTGGTTCGAACCTCAGCTCACTTGGTGTTTCTGTGTGGAGTTTGCATGTTCTCCCTGCCTTGGCGTTGGGTTTCCTCTGGGTGCTCCGGTTTCCCCCACAGTCCAAAGACATTTGGTACAGGTGATTTGGGTAGGCAAAAATGTCTGTTGTGTATGAGTGTGTGTGTGAACAGCGAAGGCAAAGGGCGGCGAAGGGGTATGCGTCAGCACCGTAGCATACGCTGGTGTTTGACGCAGAAGTATAAATCAGCCTTAATAAGGCGTCTTCAGCGTAACCAAAAAGCTCCGTTTTCAGCGCTCAAAAGGCGTAGTGTGAACTAATGGCAGAACCATAGCAAAACGTATGCATTTTAAGACTAAAACATATTAGTGTAAACGGGGCCTAAAAAACTTAGTAAGAGCTTGATTAGCTAGCCCAGGTCTGTCTGATTGAGGTTGGAGCTAAAATCTGCAGGAGTGCGGAGATTGAGAACCCCTGATCTACACTATAAAAAGCACTATAGAGACAAACATGTATTGAATATTGAGCCTGACCCTTGATCAGTTATCATAGCTGATTGGCTTTCAGAAAGCCTCATTTCTTCTCTCGTCATCCTCTGTTTATTGCCGGTGTTTGTCATATTTATTTATTCAGCGGAGACTAATTGTTTGACCTCCCCTCCACTCCGGGACTACATCAGTCTTGTTCAGATGTCAGTTGGAGCCCGGCCCTATTACTTGCACTCTTCTTTGGGATGCTTCCTGACAGTTTGTGAACCCTGCAGTTTTATGTAACATCGCAAAGCAAATACGGTAGAATTATAGCAGCAGCTGCACTCTGAGCTAGTGGGAGACGAAAAGAGGGATGGGGGAAAAAGAGAAGGGAAGAAAGAAGAACAGACAAAATGCATTCCTGATGGATTTCTCATCTCTTCCCTTGGCCGGCGATCGCTTCCCAGCACTTGAAAGCTGGCCGCACTTGTAAATCCCTCTACATATCAGAAAGGATCCCTCTGGACCTCTCTGGGGACTCTGTTCTCTGACAACAACATTAATCAATCAAGCGCTTGTAAAAGACTCTGCAAGGTGGGGGTCGGGGCTCTAGGTTTCTCCAAACTCTCATCCTCAAGTTGTCCTCTTTAGGATCCCAGCTACCTTGGGTTCCTCAGCAGAAAATATACAAGGCAGGGTAACCGATTCAACATATGTCTTTGTCTGTCTCTGAGCATTCAAGGAAGAAGACGTATGTGTCTAAATGGTTGCTTCCACACTCTTGGGAGAACGTTGAGAGATTTATGCTATGCCTGTTTTCTAGTAATATTTCACACATGATGTATTTAGGGGACCGATTTGCATTGATTGTAGGTTTATGTCGGCTAATCTCCGGTGTATGTCAGAACATTCATTATTACTTAAACAGCATTGCACAAGATAGCAATGTCTTGGGGATTTCGGGAGAACGAAAGGGAAAAGTCCCATGTAAAATTAAAAAGAAATCCACTATGCATATTAGTTATGATGATAAGGTGTGAGAAAACACATCTAATTGGTCAATGCAAAGCCACATGGTTGTCAAACACAAGTGTCTTCTGTTCCAGTCTGTTACAACAACCAATGAGCCATGTTTGTAGGTCAGTTGTGCGTTTTTTGGCCCACACCAATCCCCAAGGGTGTATTTATGGTAACTAATAAAAAAGACAAGAGATAGGACCAGAGGAAAACCTTGAACAAGGCCGAATAGCCAAAAGGACACATCTTCCCCCTCTCGCATAATAGGGCTAAAGGGATATCATGTGAAAAGCTGAGGTATTCGAGTCATGGATATAATTTGTTAATGCAATTTTTCTCATAATCTAATTCTGGAACACTTTGAAAATCTCCAAAGGTCAACTCAAACTAAATCTGCAGAGAAGGTCACCCTGAGAAAGTGACTCTGGTTAAGCACGGTAAATAATGGCCGTAGGTCTTCAATGCTGCTTGGTCCGGTGTTGGGGTGGGGAGGGATTGTGTGTGATTTCTCTATGGAGTCTATTGTGAAAGTTCTTCCCCCTCCTCAAAGCAGCCCTCCTTTAAATGTGTGTTTTTGCCATTGCCTTTTTTTTTTAACTGTTAAAGGAGTCAGTCTGTTGAAGTGCTCATGCAGATTTACCCATAAAAGTGCAGTTCATCGTAGCGCACACTTTGACCTCCCATTGGACTGACATTAAAGGGCACCTAATGCGTTTAACCCACCCAAAGCACTAATTCAGTGAGGTGTTCGGGTTTGGCATGATACTCAACAATACATTCCACGGCTTGTACATGGCAGCTGCTTTGGCATAGACCTTTAAATGTGTTTGAATAAAATATGACGTGCTGTTTCATGGCAAGAATGCATAATATTCTTCATGCAGTTACCATTAGGACCATTTCACAGACGTTCCCACTGGTTTGGCTTGGGATATGTGGGCAGGTTTGTGTATAGAGATTCCGCACAGGCCAGAGTGAGATCAGACCTTTGGCCCTGGCTGGTGACCTGCTCCGTCACAGCTGTGCAGACCCATCCGGCAGATGTCAGTTTAGTAGCGAATGAAGAGAAGGGCACTGGGGTGAGACAGGGGCCAAGCAAGGGGCCGCTCCACCCCTGGATCATCAGCTCCAGAGCATTTATGCTACACAGCCCTAGTTCTTTAGTCTTGGGGCAACTAAATGCATAGCAAGTGTGAGTTATGGTTAGGGCTAGAATATACTGTAATTAAGGGGATGGTTTGACCCAGGGGTGTCCAAATTCAGTCCTGGAGGGCCGGTGTCCTACATATTTTAGTTTCAACCCCAATTAAACACACCTGAACCAGCTAATCAAGCTCTTACCAGATGTACTAGAAACTTCCAGGCAGTTGTGTTAAAGCAAGTTGAAGCTAAACTATGCAGGAAACCGGCCCTCCAGGACTGAGTTTAGACATCCCTGTTCTAGTATATCTAGTAAGAGCTTGATTAGCTGCTTTGAGTGTGTTTGATTGGGGTTGGAGCTAAACTCTCCAGGACTCTTGCCCTCCAGGACCGAGTCTAGACACCCCTGGTTTAACCCAAAAGGGTAAGACTTTATTTTGATGGTCCCTATTGCACATTTTGTTGACTAAGACTTGCATTGCAACTACATGCCAGTTAATTCTCATTTGAGTATGAGTAGACTGTCTGCTTAATATCTGCTGATAATGCTCCTTCAACATTTAACAGACTATATAAAACTTTGCAAGTATGTGAACTTACACTAACCCTAACCAACACAATCTCACGGCAATTCGTAACTTTTTGATTTAGTGGCTAATTTGTATGAATTCGTACGATCTAATTCGTACAATTTAGTATGATTTGATTATCACCCAATGACGGTTGGATTTAGGGGTGGGGTTGGGTGCCATGCATCCTTTTTAATATTGTACAATTTCATACGACTGAATTCATTCGAATTAGACACTAAACTGCCAAAACGTAAAATACTTGTGTTTTCTCAAGAGATCTGGCTGCCCTAACCCTAACCCCGAAACAATAGTCTACTTATAATCTATTGAGAATTAGTTGACATGTACAGTTGAAGTTAGAATTATTATCCCCCCAGAATTATTAGCCCCCTTTTTATTTTTTCTCTCAATTTCTGTTTAACGCAGAGACGTTTTTGCAACACATTTCTAAACATAATAGTTTTAATAACTCATCTCTAATAACTGATTTATTTTATTTTTGCAATGATGATAGTAAATAATATTTCACTAGATATTCTTC